CTGTTCAGGGACAGAACTGCTCCTTAAGGTAATTACATTCCCAGGGCTTACATGGTGCCTGTCAAACTCCCCTCCCTCTACATCACAGGCCAGTTTTTGCAGATCATTATGAAATAAATATGTTGCCCTGAAGGGCGAAAATATAACAAGCTGAACCCAAATGTTACCAAGTGACCGCTATAAAGAAACACAAAATGTTGCTCACTGACTGCACAGGGGACATGGGTGAGTTCCCTATCACACACACACAGGCCTTTATCAACACATGCACAATTAAGCTCGCATTTGTCCAACAAAAGGTAAAAATTACTGCCAGGGTGGTGTCACAGCTGCAGGCAGAGCAGTAAATGCTCTAGAGTGATTTAGAGTAAATGCATCCTGAGCGATCAGTCCCATATGTGACGTTCTCCACTAAGCTTTGCTCTGGCAATGCTCCCACTATTTGAGGAAGGAAACGAAGTTTTCTCCTCCTTTTTTTTTCTGCCAGGCTGGATTTAAAGCTTGGAAAGCAGACCTACCTTAACTACATGGCAGAAGCGTGGTAGTTCATAATTAATTTTCCACATCAACTGTTGGCCGCCCTCCTCCTCCTCTCTACTAGTCTGCAAACTGCCAGTGGATACTTATCCAAAGAGCAGGCATGCCACAGAGCAAAAAAAGAGCATGATTATTATTAGCTAATACTTATAGTATGTGTGCTAGCCAAAAATAAGAGGTAATTGAACCTGGGTGCAAAGGCAGCCCTGACTGAAGCTGCTTATCATCGAATCGATGCAAGGATAGAGAAAAAGACAGATAGGAGAAGGCTGCAACCAGATATGGAAACATGTTTTCAGAAGAAGGTTTTGAGCCACATAATTTTAAAACATCTGCAGCTCAAAGAAACACAGGCCTTTTTTCCATCCCAGCTAGACCCTGCCCAAGACACGGCCCACAGGCTGCCAAGCAGCAGCTCTGCAGAGGACACGGGCCTCCAAACTGCAATTACAAGGAGGTTGCTCATCCTCACAGGACAAGGGTCTTCAACATAAACCACTACATCATGCTCTCTGAAGCAACACTACAAATGCCAGAGTCCAGAAGGCAGAGCCTCAGGCTGGCAGCCCAGGAACAAGCGCATCTGTAGGACTTTGGGCAGACCCATTGTCTTCTCAGTACTTCAGGAGACCGGGTTAAGAACTGTTATATTACTGTTCTGTGATTGATATCTTCAGCATTCCATGTTAGTTTCCTATTTTATTTCAGAAATTCAACTCGCTTCTGTTGCTGATACCAATTTTTAAATTCATTTTACACCAAGATATTTGTTATCAGAAATTGTGCTTTGATATGTGTCAGGCTGATGGATTCAATAAAAGACCCGTCGGGAGAACTTGAGTGAACAGGGTTGCAAAAGTGGTGTCATCACGGGAACTGATTCATTAACAGTCAGTCTGCTGCTCTTGCAACAAAACATGCAAACATAATAACTATTTTATTTCCTTACCCTGGAAAAACAGTTCAGGGAAACACTAGAAAACATTTCATAAAAGTTACTCATACAAACAAGCTCAGCCTGCTCGCTGACAAAAAACAGGTAAATAGCAACCCTGCTTGTGGTGCTGTTCTCATATCTGGTGTGCAAAATTCAGTCATGAAGAATGAAGACTTTATTCAAAGTAATCTGAATTTGGAAATTCAAGGAGGCATCCAATGATGCTCCAGCTGAAATTTTCCTTCTAATAATGTAGGAGGACAATTTTACTGACACATTTTCAGACACAGACAGTAGACCTGCACCCCTCATCAAACCACTGGAATGCTCCATCATTAAGGTTTTATTTGATATCTAGACCCACAGGCCCATGAAAAAAAGTATGTGTTTACGATTTAATAAAAGAAATCACATAGCAAGCAAGACAGATTTGAAGAAAGAAATAATAACTTTCTATCAGACCATATAATATTGTGAGTGAGAAAAGGACACCTGCCCACTGCTCTGCTGTAGGTCAAGCAGGGCTTGAATGTGGAAGTGCTCTGCTTCACCTCTGTGAGACCATCACAGCTGCACCACCATCGCTGATTTACAGAACATTTGGGAATGGTAAAAGACCTGACATTGAGATTCAACTTTAAAAAAAAGAGAAATAATATTACAGCCTAAACAAAGCAAAGGGAAAAGTTCCACAGCAACCCACTTGAAAAAGGTGAATTACACTGAGGATTTATGTCCATGCAACGAAGACAATTAATTGCTATGAGATCCATAAAACACATTAGATGAACAGGGCTTTTTCCAATTCTACTTGCAAGATAAATTTTATTTACTATGTTTAATGGCTACTTAAAATTTTTATCTTACATACTTATTAAATGTGCTTTTACAGCAGAACAGAGCCTTTTACTGACCCAATTCTACTAATCTAAAAAATGAGTAATTTAAGAAAAAAATATTACTCTGCATGTTACCTACAGATCCATTTAAAATAGTTCCTTACACAGTAAGATTACTATCACCACAATTGCATAAATGCTGCTAAAAGGGAATTTGCTTGTCTCACATGAGCAAACAACATTCTGCTGCAAGGATGAATGAGTGCAGCTAACATCATTTGGACATATGTTGCCATTTCCAGCAGAGATACAGAGCAAACGTGGGTCCTGCTGTCATTCAGTGTTCCTATAATCCCTTAAAAACCCCTTTACTTGGGGGAACAGGGCACATGGAAGAAACCAGATTAGATTGGAGCGGTGACCTCAGGTGGAAACCTCATGCTTTGCCCTACAGACTCATCTGCTCAGCCAAGGCTGCTTTCGTGCCCCCAGCTATGGGCATCAGACGCACCTTTTGCACGTGTGATCACAGAGACAGATGTTTACTGCTTAGAAGTGATCTAGAATTGACTGGTCCTTACGCACTACCTGTAAAACAGGGATAGGTAGCACTCGTGTCTTACAAGAGTGTCACGGGAACAGATCAAGTTCACGGTAGTCAATTCCTCTGCTAAGCTTGCATGAGCCCTCAAGCTGAAGGATAGGAATGGGTCTTAGCTATTCGGATGAACAACAGCAGCGGTTCCAACTCTGAACTTCAGGGCAATTTTCTCAATTTGCAACATATTTAAAGACCAAGTTTCCATAAATGTGAGTTTTCCTTAAATAAGACTGAAGTTGCAAAATTAAATGCAAAAATATAAGCGAAGTCCAGCCTAGAGTTTAATGCCTAAGTAACAGTTTTGCATAAATTGTGTGGAAAATGCTCTTTGCCCTCTGAAACAAGAGGTTCTGCATAACCCCTCAACTGGAGCACTACTCACGCTGCAGCCTGAGATGTGATCTTTAGACCGAGAATCAGACCGGCTCAGGTGAGAAGGACGTGGGGAGCTCGTCTCAGCACCATCCTGCCCGAGCCAGGGTCAGCACCGTGGTCACATCAGCCCCCAGCCGCTCTGCTGCGGACCCTCACACACCCTGCGCAACCAGCAAAACACACCTGCTCATTGCAAGGAGGATTTACATGCTTTAACCTACCAATCTCACACAGAAACAGGGAACACACACCTTGTTGTGATTTCTATATTATAATAGTGCAAAGTATTTCTCCGTAGGAGTCAATAAGCCCTCTCGATTATAAAATACCTTTCCTATGGCTTTCCCTTTAAGGGATTATAATCACAAGAGCAGAAGCTTGAAAATAAACAAGTGAAGATGGTAACAAAGGCATGAGTAATGCTTAACAACCTCCTCTTCTAGAAACCAGGTGTCACCAGAGCAGACAGATGAACCCAGTAAGCACGGCAGCAGATTTAATGATGGGAACCTCTCCTCCCTGACAACAGCGTTGTCTTCTTGAAATGCCTGTACAAATTAACAGCATGTGCTGTGGCTGGAACAGACCTTTCTCGACACTCGACATTTAAAAGTTAAGCACCTAATTTAAGCTATTCCCACCAATATTTTTCTGCAGTCACTGGAGACGGGCAGTCCCGGCAGAGCTCAGCTGAAGCGTGAGAGTTTGAGCCTCTGATGTCCAGAGGTAACGCTGCTGCTGAAGTGGATCAAAAGCAGAATGAATGCATACTCACCTGGATGCTTCACATTTTCTTGGAGACTTTGACTTTTTTTTTCCTTTGCCCCCCTCCTCCACTAACCCCAAGCGCAGGTGTTACATCGTTCAACAAGACCACACTGCTGGTTCAGTCATATATGAGACGGCAATACCCATGTGTTAAATGAAAAAGGAGAGCATTCTGATACCATTCTAATGAGATCTAGGATCCAATACTTAAAATTTTGGTGGATTTTATTAGCAAACTTTGCCTTCACACAATAATTTGGCCTAGATAAAAGAAGTCATAGAATCAGAGAGTATATTACCCTAAATGTTTCTAAAGCACAAGCTCTGTCCACAATACATCCCCTTAAGTACTGGCCCTCAATTTCTTGTTAAAAGATAGTTGTGTATTGCCTTGTTAAAGTTACAACATAAACAAGGACCAGAGAATCTCCATATACGCAAAAACTAAGTGCTACACAGTAAAGGGGGCACATGTGATTGTGCAAGAAATTGGTATTATTTCTGTCTGTGGCAAACAACAAGAATATACAAATCACACAGGAAAGCACAGGGCTGTACTGCAAACGGGCTTTTCCAGCATCCTTTGGGTTTTTTTTCACCTCTGACCCTCTGAACTGCAGATATTAGTGAAACACAAGCGAGGTTTTTCCAACGTCTATCACCAAGTATACATCACCAACAGTAAAATATAACCATCAGCGAACATTTTGTTCAATAAAGCACTTGATATAAACACACATACCCTCAAGCCCAAGACTTTAAAAACACTTCACTCTTGATGAAAGCTCTCCAAATTCAGGGAGAGAAAAGGTTATTTACAGAAGTATTATAAGCATGGCACGTATACAGCAATAAACACAAACACTGCTAATTTTCTATTTTCCACACATGCAGGTATTCAGAAACGAGCAAAAAGCCAAGAGCAGAGGAAAAATTGACATACCTTACCAAACCTGAATTTTGGACACAACTCGTTTCAGAGCAACATTGGTGTGAAGGTAAGTTCCTCAGGCAGCCACCAACCACAATTCCTTTCAGAGCTCCCCAAAGGCTCCAGCTCCCCCTTGCCTGTGTCCCTGAGGAAGATGCAGTGTCCTCCAGGATTTCAGAGCCTCAGCTGCGAATGACGCTGTTCAGGAAAGAAAAGAGAAGAAGGTGTGGCATTAAATTCTAGGGTCAGTTGTTTGGCAGATTCAGAGCAGAACATAAGACAACATCAGATAGGAATGAAATGTCAAGGCAGGACAAAGAGCCTGTGACAATCCATCACGCGTGGCACCTTCGGAGGACAATCTTTGAATTCAAGAACTATGGTGCAAAGCTAGTCCTGCTTCACAGTACTTCAATGGTGTCCCTACACCAGGAAATGAAAGCCAGCCCAGCTGCTTTTCATTCCAGTTCAATATCGTAAAAAGAAAGTAAGTAATATATTTCTCCACAGGGAATATTTTAATTCATTATGGCTCTTCTGCAAAATAACACGGTTTTCACATTAAAGGCAGAGACATCACCTCAGTCTTAATACTTTGCACTGTTAAAATGACTCTCACTCAAGGAATCCAACGGTCCCAAAGAGACAATCGCGTTAGGACCTTGCAGCTGATGGGGAGTGGCGACTGCCAGCCTGACAGGCAGCAATGTGGTCCGTAAGTTCAGCCTCCAAAGCAATTGTCAGAGACAGCTAGACGGCCCTGGGAGCTCACTACCACTGCTACATCTGCTTGGTGTTTCCAAGAGGTCACACCCTGGCACTGGCCATGAACATGGGGACCTCACTGTGAACACCCAGAAGAGAAGACAGTGATGGAGACGACCCCCTGGCAGCAACCACAAGCCTTAGAGAAGCACCAAGAAGCTCAGATGTGCACCACTGTCATTGCGTTAATCATCCCTAATCCCTGGCACACAGGAAAATACTCAAAGGACTTCCCTCACCCAGACAACTCAGTCTGAGAAGCAAGACCAGGCTGCACAGAGCAGGCAAGGACCAGGCAAAGAGCAGGATTCAACCTCCCAAAGCCCCTGTGTCCTTAAATAGGGCTCAGAGGTGCTTTTCTAACATTAATGTGACACAGCAGCCACGAACATAGTCTAACTTTGCCTAGAAATTAGAAGGAAAAAAAAAAAAAGGATATACAGGCATATTTATTCCTTAGAGCTCTCCTACACAGAATAAAGCCTGTAATAGCTCAAAATGTCACAAAATCCTATTATATCCTCACAAAAAATCCTGAACCTGCAAACAGGTTACACCTATCTAGAAGACCTACTAGGTTTTGGGCTTGCAACAGGAAGATTTCAGTAACCAGCATATAAAACTGTCCATATTGAAAATTTGCATTATACTGCTTCTTTTTTTTTTAATTAAACACAGATTTTTACAAAAGGTCCACACAGCAAGCATGGTCACACATGTCAGAACAACTAAATATATTCACTTTATTTAGCACTAACTACTTCACCAGACCATTTATAAGTGGTTTATGTTACAAACCACACCTAAAGGCTCTACATGTGGAAGAGTTTGTGAGATATAAAAGGCATCAGGACAGCTGAGCCCAGGCCTGTATTTCTTGGTGCACATTTTCAGACCTCCTGCCTCGATGTGAACATGAAGGACAGAAGTGGACCTTCACACCTCCTGTCCTCTTCCAGGCTAACCATGAAAAATCAGAGTGCCAACTGAAATAGCTGCTGAATGACTTATGGGTACAGAAATGGCTGATGCTGCAGTAGTTCAATGTGCAGGCAGCAGCAAGACCTAATTCTACTGCTTTTAAGGGATTTCTATCTCTGGAGACCATGGTTACAATTACTTTTTCATTTTTGCTCGTAAATTGTAATGCAAAATAGTCATGAAGAAAATCAGTGCTACAGTTGTGTGCATTAACTATAGCATCAGCTGAGTTGAGAAGGAGTAATAATAGGACTAGATCATCATTGCAGGCTGAGTGCAGAAGCCTGGTCTCAGGTTGGAAAAGATGTGTTTTTGAAAGCTTCTATTTAGTACAGCTTGCCAATGCTCATCAGAAGCAAATCTCTCCAATAAGAAGCTGGCACATGCCTTAATATGCTGCTATGCACGTGCACAGAGTTTCTGTACTGTCTGAACTCCTGCACTGGTGCCTGGACCATAAATTACAATACAGGCAGAAGCATAAGCTTCCAGCTCTTGGAGAAGGTGTTTTTTTTAAAAAAAAACCAACACCAAAACCAACTTCCCTTACTCCCAACCACTACCATGATGGGAAGAGAGTACAGCAGCAGCAGCGCTGGAAAACGTTGCCAAGCAGTTGGCTGATCCAGACTGAAAGCACAGAGCACTGCGAACGTGCGGTAACAAGGGAGAAGGGGAAATAATGGGAGGTGTGGACATGGACAGTAAAACCACTTTGGTCATGACAAAATGCAGTGACTGCACTATTCCCATCTCTCCAAGACAAGAGAGAGTGTGCAATGTAACAAAATTAGTTCTGTGGCCAAAATCCCCACAAGCAGCAAGGTGCAGACTCTCCAACCCGAGTGCAATGTGCTTCCTCCATGATCTGATGACAGGTACAGAGGGAGGGACATGGGCCACGGACTGCTGCTAGTCAGCAACATAGCAAGGTAAATATCTATTCAAAAAAATAACACAAGGAAACCATCGTGAGCTTTAATTTGTATTGGCTCAGAACGTTCCAGGAAGGAAAGAAAAGAATGCATGCCGCTCCTGTTGCCCAAACCTGCATTATTTTGCAGAAGAACCCCTTCACATCCAGTAAGCAGCAACCCGATTCCTTCTCACAGTTGAGGAACCTGGGGAGCCCATCACACAGCTCCCGAGATGCTCCTCAGACCGCCCTGACTTTGGGCAGTGCCAGCAAGCAGCTGCCCTGAGAGCTGGAAAAGCCAGGGTGGATGGTGGTCTGCTGGAGCCCACTGCCCAAGCCCAGGGCTCCAGGTCTAAAGTGAGACAGACACCAGCATCCTTGATTAAAAAACAAACAAACAACACATTAATTTCAGTCTGAAGCTGCTGTAGGCACTGCTCCTGTCCAAAACAAAACCAAGTCTAAACCTACAGTAATGCACCACATACTAGAAATCCCACAATTTCAGTCAATTTTGGTTCTGACATTTTGTGCTCCCCGCCGTTCTTTGATCAGAGATATGGAGGCAACTGCTGACAAACTACAAATTACTTTCATTATCCCACCACTTCAGATCTTTGCATTCAGCTTCTGGAGCCCTGGATTGAACATTCAGGTGCATTCCTAAATTAACATAGTTAAGTGGTATCAGATCAGTCTTCAAGTGACAAAAGCAGGCATATAGATGTTCTCATTAATCAGAAGAGGCAGATAAGACATTTTTTCAGTAAAAAGAGAGTATTTCCCTTGGAGGAATCTCAGTCCTTTACTGAGAGAAAACATGAATTATACAAAACAACTATACACTTTAGATGTAACAAATTGCATCAAATATTAAATTTGAAGACGCCACTTCTATCCTGAGATGCTCCCAGATCAGAGATCAATGAAGCCTGGAACAGTCTCTCACAGGACGCCTTGCTATGCCTTTACTCTGTCCTCATACCTCTCTTTAGGTTTAGCCATCAGCCACTGATCACTGTCAGGGTGAGGACAGGAGCTGGCTGGATCTCCATCTGACTCCACAGAGCTATCCTTAAATTTGGGTGTCATACAGCTTAATGTGCAGCTTGAGAGTTATGGCTGTATATGACAATATTGGTGAATATTTGCAACTTCGAGTAGGGCAAAAATAAGTATCTAGAAGCTGAACAATGTATTTGCAAGCAAATATTCCAGAACAATAGATATTCAAATTAGTATTAGTTTGTCTCATCAAAAATTAATTATAACCTACGTAACTGCAATTGAAGAAATTAGTTGGGCATAGAGAAGATTAAATATTTAAAGTCTGGTGACTTAATAATTGAAATCATGTCTCCCTGCTGAAATCTTAAAGTTTTATTTTTAGCGCTAGTGTGACCACTAAGAAATCAAAGCTCCGTGTGTGTACATCCATACAGACGTGCAAAAACACGTAAGCAACACGTTCACACCTAGTCTCCTAATTTCCCTATAACTAAACACGGGTAAACATGTTCAACTTACACAGAGGAGCTCTACTGGCAGAGCTGGAAGAAAGACTGTGAAACAGGCAAGGGAAAAACACATTTTTATTGCCAAGTATTTAACAAGGTCAACCTCCTCTATAAGCACAGGAAAAAAGAATCCACAGCAGACTCTGAACACAGCAGGCGATTATATCAATTCATTAGCAGGTATAGCTTCTAATTACAGCCTTGGACATCAGTCCCCACAGAGTTGAGCAGGCAACGACTCCTGTATTTTGCCACATCCTCAGGATCTAGCTGACTGTTTTCTACTGAGCTTCAGGCCAGCTGGGCTTAATGCAAGCCCACCACATCGGCTTCAGCCGAAAGTGAGGGTATTCAGTTATGTCAAAAGATGCTCCTGACCCCTCGCAGCTCAAGCTGGCTTCTATGTTTTATAGGATTTGTGCCTCTGCTCTTGCCACATCAAGGAAGCTGTAGGATCAACAACTCATCCTGTCAGCTCCATCTCTGGTAAAGACCTCACATTAATTTAGTGTAAAAGTGACGCTGGTGAAGGAGGGAATAAAACGAGACTTTGAATCCCTCTTTCCAGAAGGCTAATGGTAAAAAATGGGTAGCAATGCAACTCTGGCACCTTTCCAACTATAACACTTAGAGCATTGCCCACAGCCGCATCCCAGACATACTTTATCATTCACGATGGCTCAGCACAAATAAATAAAACAGAAGTCGCCAGCACTACTGGCGTTCAGCTGTTCTGAGGCTTTTTTTTTTTCCCTTCTGTGCCAACAAAACAAATAGTGAAATTGCAGTACTGCAATTCAAGTGATGACATCTATGATTGGGAAATTTGGTGGAGGCTGGTGGTCTGATGAAGTTCCTCAGGAAATTAACTCAATTAAAGAATAAAGGCAATAACAAAATGAAAAATACATTGGCTGAGATGCATATAACGGGAATACTGTGATGTTGCTAAAGATCAGCACTGGTTTTCATTATCCAAGCGTAAACTAAGGGCATCCAGGAAAAACGGAATAAGAGTC